TTTTCCTCCCTACCACCCCCAGTTCGCTTAAAAAAATTCATTGTTGCTTAAATTCCTCTCTTCCCCCAGCCCCACCTCGAGTGCACTTTGAAAAGTCTCAAATGATCCAAGAAGCATCAAAAGAAGATGGAGTTAATACAGCGGGGCACTATACCAAAAATAATTGGTACCAGGTCAATTCACTGGAAGAAGTCCATATTTGTTCACATTCCCAAGAAAGGTGATCCAACAGAATGTGTAAATTACAAAAAAAAATCATTAATATCGCATGCAAACAAAATAATGCAGAAGACAATTTTAAAATGACTAGAATAGTACATAGAGAACTGTCAGAAGTTAAAAATGGGTTTAGAAGAAGCTGCACTACCAGGGATGTCATTGTTCGTGTCCAATGGATCCTGGCTGAAAGGAGAGAATATCAGAATGTCTGTGTTTCATTGATTATGCAAAGTCATTTGACTGTGTGGATCATAACAAATTATGGCTAACATTGAAAAGAATGGGAATTCCAGAACACTTACTTATGTTTATACAAAATCGATATCTAGATCAAGAAGCTGTTGTACTAACAGAGCAAGCATTTGGTTTAAAATCAAGAAAGGTGTGCATCAGGGCTGTATCCTTCCTCCGCACCTACTGAATTTGTATGTTGAGAAAATCATTCACGAAACCCAGATTTTATGAAGATGAACGTGGCATCAAGATTGGAGCCAGACTCATCAACAATCTTCATTATGCAGGTGATGTAACTTTACTTTTTGAAAGTGAGGAGGACTTAAGGCATTTGCTGCAGAAGATCAAAGACTACATCATTTATAAGGTTTATAATTCAACCTCATAAAAAGAAAAAGACCACTAGGCCAATAGACAACATCATAATCAAAAAGGAGAAAAGACTGACATCATCAATAATTTCATTTTGCTTGAATCCACAATCTTTTGGAACTAGCACCTTTGGAACTAGCAGCCAGGAAATCAGAAGACATACTGTATTGGAAAAGTCTGCTGTCAGAGACCTCTCTAAAGTACTGAAGAGCAATGATATCAGCTTAAAGAATAAAGTACACCAGATTCAAATCAACTGCTATGCATTTGAGAGCTGGACAATGAATAATGAGAGAAGAATTATTATCTTTGAGTCGTAGTGTTGGAATAGAGTACGGACTATCCCATGGACAACCAAAAGAACATATCTTGGAGAAGGGGGAGCTAGAATGCTCTTTGGAAGCAGGAATGGTGAAGCTTCATCTTCATCTTACATACTATGGGCATGTTGTTAGTAGAGACTATTCCTTGGAAAGGGACATCATGCTTAGAAAGATGGCGTGTATGCTTATAAAGATGGAGTATAGACAAAAGAGAGGTGAGATGGATTGACACAGCGATTGTGGCAGTGGGCTCAAGCGTGTGGGAAATGATAAAGTTGGAAGAGAATAAGACAGAGTTCAGATTTGTTGTTCATACAGTAACTATTAGTTGTACAAAACTCAGTAGTAACAACAACCTTATGTCGGATATTGTGTGGTTACATGCCATAAAGTTGCATATAACTCAGAGTGACCCTGTGGACAATAGATCTGAACTATGCTAAGAAAGGTGCAAGATTGATGAATAAAAGACCATTAACAAGATTATTGACACAGTTGTTTCAGCAATGGCTCAATTATACCAGAAATTATGAAGACGGCAAAGGGTAGGGCAGGATTCACATCATACTGTATGAGTCAAGATAAATCGCATTTATATCTCACATTTACCTCTGTTTATAAAAAGGGAGAATCTCTCACATAATTACAATTAAAAATCCTGAATTAAAAATCATACTATTAAAAATATTTTTAATACAGAGACCAGACAATTGGGAAATAATATTTATATGATCAGTGGTAAAAACATCTAGCAGAAAAGTTGGTATTATTAATACCAGGAAAAGGAACATTAAACAAAAAATCAAACTGAGCCCTTTTTGATCATGTTGTTGTTCTGTGCCGTCAAGTCGCTTGCAATTCATAGCGACCCTATGTACAACAGCCCTAAACTCTGTTCTATCCTGTGCCAATCTCACTGCCTCTGACACACCCATCCCGATTATGCCAATCACTGAATCAATCCACCTCAAAGAGGGTCTTCCCCTCCTGCACCGCCCCTCCACCCTCCCAAGCATGATGTCTCTCTTCTCACAACATGTCCAAAGTATGTAAGACGAAGCACCAGAATCCTTGCCTCCAAGGAGCCACCTGGTTTAACCCTCTTCAGGATGAATCTGTTTGTTTTCTTGGCAGTCCACGGTACATTCAATACTCCTCCAGCACCACAGCTCAAAGGCATCAATTCTCCTTCTATCCTCTCATCTGTCATTGTCCAGCTCTCTGATGCATAACAAGTGATTGTAAAGATCATAGCCTGTATTAGACATACCTTAATCTCCAGAGTGACACCATTGCTCTTCAGTACCCTGGAGAGGTCTCTAACAGCAGACTTTCCCATCATAATATGTTTTTTAATTTCCTGGCTACTGGTGCCAAGAGTGTTGACCGTGGAGCTAAGCAGACTAAAGCTATTAACAATCTCAATCTCTTCACCATCCATCCTGATGCTGCCAATTGGTCCAGTGGTGAGAATCTTTGTCTTCTTGACATTGAGCTTCAATCCATACTGAAGGCTGCAGTCTTTGACCCTCTGCAGCAAGCATTTGGCCGGGGCCAAAAAATAGAGAAGCGACTCGCGAGAAAAGATTTACCATGCCCACAGGTACAAAAAGCAGATGCTGCGCCAATACAATCTACACACCAGTTCTATAGGACACATCAACCTCCCTTCAGAGACATTACCACTAAACTTAAGAGACACTGTCCATAGCATAAAAAATTGTCATCAGCTGAAAATTAGAAAGTTTTGACCCTAAAAAATAGAAAAACTGGAGTAAGCTTATGTACTGCTTCATGGCTAACAATGCACATGAAAGTGATGTGGGGTGTATTCTCTCAGTAAATAAAGCCCAGATACCGAAGAGAGAATGGCATGCGGGGATAGGTGGTTACCATCAATCAACTGGGAACAGTGGTGAGCAAGGGCTTCATGCAGTAAATCTTTATATTAAATAGAAAGAGAAGGCTTTGAAAAAAATCAATTAAAGAAATATAAATTTGAACATTCACAATTATGATCATTATCCTCTACCTGAAGGAAAGAGCCTGAATAGCATAGTGCCTAATGTATAGGGCTAAAAACTAGAAAATTAGACCTTCTAATCAACCAGCTCCTCCAAGAGAAAGATGGACCCTATCCTCAAAATTTTACCAGTTAAAACCTGATAGAGGACAAGGAAAAGTTGGAATTAACTTGAAAACAGGGGGTATAATAGGGAGAAAAAATTGAGAAGCGTATTTCCCTGGAGAATAAGTAGAGCAGGATATCTACTTATAATTTAGCCTTACAAATTTAGTCTACAAAGCCTGTGGAGAAAGCCTGTGCTAATCACCAGATAGGCCTGCAGGAGAATTATCACTATTCAGAGCCTCACTGGAAGAAATAGCCAAGTAAGAGGCTGAAGGAATCACCAAAGATAGAATTGTTGTTGATTATGTTGATGTTAGGTGTCATCAAGTCAAGTATGATTCATGGTGACCCTATGAACAGATCAGAACCTTGTCCTATCCTTGTCCCACTCCATGATCTCCAACATGCTTGAGCCCATTGCACAGGACTTGTTGCTGTGTTCTGTCAAGTGGGATCTGGCCCTTAGCTGACTCTCCAATGGGTTTCCAGAGGTAGTAATCATGCGGGAGGAGATTGTCCATCCTTCTCCTCTGGAGCAGCTGGTAGACTTGAACCACATGTCTTTGGGATTGTAGCGCAGCAGTTACCACTAAAGCACTAGTTGTGTTGTTGTTGTGAGGTGCCATTGAGTCACTTGTGACTCACAGCAACCCTATGTACAACAGCCCTGGCACCAGCTCTACCCTGTGCCAACTTTACTGTCTCTGGCACACCTACTCTCATTACTCCATTCACTAAATCAATCCATCTCAATGGTCTTCCTCTCTTTCACTGTCCCTCCCTCCTTCCAAGCTTCATGTCCCTCTCCAAGGACTGGTCTCTCTTTGCAACATAAGCAAAGTATGTTAGAGGAAGCCTCAGAGTCCTTGCCTCCAAGGAGCAGCCTGGCAGTCCACGGTATATTCAACACTTTTCTCTAGTACTACAGCTCAGAAGCATCAATTGTCTCTTATTTCTAGTGATTGTCCAGATTTCTGATGCATAGCAAGCAATTGCAAAGACTATGGCCTGGATTAGGTCACCTTAGTCTCCAGACTGACGTCGTTGCTCTCAGTACTCTGCATAGGTCCCTGACAGCCAACTTTCCCAATGCAATTCATGTCCTGATTTCCTGGCTGCTAGTACCAAGGGTGTTGATTGTGGAGCCAAAAGTGAATATAAAAAAATCCCACAATTAACAAAATATTCTCATTTTAAATTAAGACAGACTTTGATCCTATGCTTGCATGACTTGCTTCATTTGCTCACCTGCTCCTAACAACAACCAGCAGCTCTGGTAGTCTAGTGGTAAGGAAATGTGCTTCCAACTCAAAGGCAGGTTTTTCTAATACACTAGCTGCTCTGTGGAGAGAAAGATGGGCAATTTCCTCTGTGATTTATAATCTCAAATCATAGTGGAGAGTCCCCTAGGTGTCAGATCCTACTAGAGGGCAATGGAGGAGACAGAATCCTGAGGAGCTTCAGGGGCTTCCCCATGAGCTCAATGCCTAGCTTGTTGAAGAGAATCATCTTCAACAGAAACTCTGCCTCCTCCACTCGCAAAAGTACAGTTAACTATATGTACCCATACACATTAACTGCTCCCTGCTGTGAACCTATTGTGAACTGTCAACTCTGCCTCAAAGAAATAAATCCCTGCTTGTGCATATTTAGCAATGCTGATCTTGTCTTCACAGGCAACTTAACACAATCTAAAATATAAAAAGATATTTCCCAATTACATTGTGTTTTCTGTGGTCAGATGATGAAATCTTCTCTGGAACTGTGGTCTGCAGAACTTTTTTATGAGAATCTAAAAGAAAAATAAGCAGTATTATTTTAATACTTGTAATTTATTATCCACTTATAAAGTCTAAGTATGTTCAGTCTCTTCCTGTAAAGAATTATCACTGCAGAAACCAGATGGAGATGTGAGGCTGAATACACCCTCCTGAAGTGAATTGGGGGCTCTCCTTTTCCATTGCCCTTCTGATTATTCCTACCTACAAATTTCTGAGCCCTTTTCTGAATCTCTGCCAAGATCTCGTTTGTATTTTCCCTCTGCCACTGTCTCTTTCTCTGACACACACACATTGATGGTTAAATAACTTCACTTTAGTGACACCGATTAAGAAATCTATTGCTTGAAAAGTAGTAAAAATGGGGAAACACTGGAGCATCAGGAAAGCCAGATCATGTGCAGGACAAAAGAGCTCGACTATTGACTACAGATGTAAAATATAGATTTATTTCAATGGAGCAAACAGGTGGAGGATGGTCTTTGTCAAATCAGGGACTGATTATAAAATGTCTCCCTTATTCCTGGAATAAAAGAGTTCTGAATGAATACAAGCCCACATTTTCCCTTTTTGCCTATTTTACTGTTAAAGAAATTATCCCAGAAGAGTGAAAAGATTTTTTTAATTGTTATTTTTATGAGTTTATAGATACGTTGGATTTTCATTCATTCATCACTGTACATTTTAACACCCTCTCCCTCTCTTTCCCTTCTCCCAGTTCACTTTTCATTTCCCTTCTTGGTCACAATCTCTGAAGGCTACAGTAAGAGTTAAAAGCAGGTCGGGTGAGCACAGAGGCCTATTGCTAGACCCTGTGGAGGGGTGAAAAGGAGAGGACTCCGCCTGGAACAAAGCCCCCTTAAAAGCCCGGGTTTGGGCAGGAGCAAGGGGCAGGCAAGTATTCAGATTTACCGTGGTCAGCGTACAGTTGGGCAAATCCGGTGAGAAGGACTAGAAGAAGGATCATGGCTCCGCTGGACTGGAGCTCCGCCTGAGTAACAGCAGTTGAGGTTGAGGTGAGTCTGCGCACAAGCTCGAGCCAGACTTGAGTGCACGAGACGCCGCGAAAGTTGAGCAAACGAGCTGCTGGTAGCAGAGCGGAGACAATCCAGAGAAGAAATAGGTCGCAGAGGGTTCTAGTCCACCGCAGAGGAGGGATATTCAGAGGGCAGCTCTCCAAACATTAGGTCCCTGGAGTTACAGTGTGGGCAACCAGATCGAGAACCTCCCCCAGAAATAAACAGTAAAAATAAACAGAAAATACAAAGGTAAAATAAAAGACAAAAAGAATATAACTGTCAATATCTATATAATGACAGTTTCAGAAGGAGAGAGAAAACTCCTCAATAATTAATAGGAAATTACAAACTGGGCATTAATGTGGGGGCGGGGCAGGAATGGAGGAATGGAAACCCACATGAAATTTCAAATACTAGCAAATAGAAAATTCTAACAACTTCCCGGGGGTGGAGGGAACACCAGACAAACAGATAACATAACAAGGAGCAAGAATCAGATCAACATTTATATCTATAATTGTTGCAAAAGACAATGGGTTAATAACACTAAAATGTTGACTGGGCAACACACTAAAATATTATTCAAGTGGTACAACTTTGTTTTAATTTTTTTTTTAAGTTTGTATGTTTAAAAAATTTTTGTCACAAAAATCCATATTGGAGAGGCATTTTATGAATTTATCAAATGGTAAGACAAAAAAGAGAGATCACAATGATAATTTTCTTGAGAAACTTGTTATGTATTTAACAATAAAAAGGTTACATGAAAACAAGAACATATATCTTCTAATGGCTCATAATAAAATTTGGGGCAATATTAACTTGATGGTGAGATGGAGAAAAGGAGATGCCAAAAGAACATCCATTGTTTCCTTAGTAAAATAATGAACACTGCATTTGGAATAGTTGTAGGGAAGAACTACTTAAAAAGGAATAGATGTTTAGGCATTAATTATATGACAACAGTATAGATTAAGAGACACATAGTACAGTGAACTTGGGAAGGAAGAGGGTATTATGAGACAATTAATGATTTCTTTTTTAAGTAGAGAGGAAAATGTACAACAATGAATGAATATCCAACTTTTCTGTTTGTTGTTGTTGTTATGTGCTGTCAAGTCACCTGCAACCCATAGTGACCAACAGCTCTGAGCCCTCCTCTAATTTGAGCTGACCTTATTGTCTCTGACACACCTACCCCCATTACCCCAGTCACTGACTCAATCCATCTTATTGAGGGTCTTCCTCTCCTGCGCTGTCCCTCTACTTTCCCAAGCATGAACCCTCTCCAAGGATTGGTCCCTCCTTGCAACTTGTCCAAAGTATGTCAGATAAGCTTCAGAATCCTTGCCTCCAAGAAGCAGCTTGGTTTTACCCTCTCTAGGACTAACCTGTTGTACTCCTGGCAGTCCGTGGCATATTCAATTCTCTTCTCCAGCACCACAACTCAAATGCATCCATTTTCCTTCTATCAACCCTTCTATCATTCCTAGTGATTGTCAAGTTTAAACCTGTACATGAGTAATCAACAGTCTGTTTTACAGTCAGTTCCTGGCCTGGTTTTGACTGTTGATATTAAGCTACCTCAACTATTTTCCCCCCCACAGATGTAGTTAATCTGATTTCTGTGTTGTCCATCAGGTTAGGTAAAAACTGCTAATCTTAAAGAAAATATTTAAGTCATCAATGAGTTAATTTTACTAGAATCCATGATCAACACCCATAGTGGCAACAGTTAAGAAATCAAAAGATGTGTTGCGTGGGAGAAATCTGCTGTCAAGAACTTCTATAAAAGGCTAAAGAGTAGGTAATATAGGATTAAAGACTAAGATGCACCTAATCCGAGCCATGGTGTTTTTAATTGCTTCCTAGGCATATGAAAGTCAAATAAACAATAAGGAAGACCAAAGAACAGCAACAACATTGAATTGGTGTTAGAAAAGAGTTTAATAACCTAAGGACTGCCGATAGAACTCAAAAATCTTTCTTAGAAGGAGTGCAACCAGGGTACACCTTAGAGTCAAGAATATTGAAACATCATATATTTTGGGCATGTTATAAAGGGGCCAGTCTTTATAAAAACACATCATGATAAAAAAGGTAGGGTCAGAAAAAAAAAAAGTACAGCCCTTCTGGAGATGGACCAAGACAGTGACTATAACAACGGGCTTAAGGATGGCAGGGATTGTTGCACAAGATCTGTTGTTCATGGGTGGCTCTAAGTCATGGTTGACTTTTGTTATTGTTGAGTACTGTTGAGTACCATAGAGTCAGAACCAACCCAAAGCTGACCCTCTGAGGGGTTTACAGAGGCCATTAATCATACGGGAGGAGGTTGCCATCTTTTACCCGTCGAGCAGCTGGTGGATTCGAACCATGTGCCTATGAAAATGCAGCACAACTTCTTACCACTAGGCCACCATGGTTGACTAGACAGTACATAACAGTGACAACAATAAATATAGAGGCAGCTTTATATCAGAATTAGGCTATTCATAAAATTTTAAAAAAAGATGTTTTTATCTTTGTCAACTAACTATAAAAATATGGCCATAAAACAAAACTGAGTTTTGAGGCAGAAAAAAATAGAAACTAAAAGAAGGACAATTTTATTCTCTTGGTGACATAAGGAGAGGCCCTAATGGGTTTCTTATACTTTCAAAATTCATAGGTAAGGTGTCTAAAATACTACCTTTCTCAAAGCCATCATAGAACAAATATAAAGAGCTAAATTATGCAAAGGTACTGATAAAATGTGTAATTTTCTTATTCTTGCAGTTGTGTAGTTGTGGCCCAACTGTCAGACTTAGAACCCAGATAAAATTATAGAAACTAGCTATCACCTAGTCATCTGCTACAGCATCTTTGTTGTGTGTTGTGGAATTGATTCAGACTAAAGGATTCAATTCAGATTCTCGCATCTATAAGATTTTCCGATGCGCTAGAGATTTTTAAATAACATTTGTTCCTTGCCAAATAGCTATCAAAGAATTCAGTAAAACAGCATCTTTTCTAACGATCATCATCTGAGAATTTGAAAACCTACACAAAATTATAACACACAGCAGGATGTTGTTGTTGTAGTTGGTATGTGCTGTCGAATTGCTTGCGACTCATAGCCACCCTATGTACAGCAGCCCTAAACTCTGCTCTGTCCTGTGCTAATCGCACTGTCTCCAATACACCCTCCCAATTACCCCAGTCATTGAATCAATCCACCTCATAGAGTGTCTTCCCCTCCTGCATTGTCCCTCCACCCTCCCAAGCATGATGTCCCTCTCCAAGGACCAGTCACTCCTTACAACATGTCCATATTATGTTAGACAAAGCCTCAGAATCCTTGCCTCCAAGGAGCCACCTGGTTTAATCCTCTCCATGATGAATGTGTTTGTTTTCCTAGCAGTCCATGATACTCTCAATACTCTTCTCCAGCAACACAGCTCAAAGGCATCAATTCTCCTTCTATCCTCCCTAGCCATTGTCCAACTCTCTGAAGCATAAGAAATGATTTAAAAGATCATGGCCTGTATCACAGCAGGATAGCTTTAGATATATGTTAACCTCTTAATGTGGTGTCTGTAATTTGGTTGGCAATCATTGATGTAAGCCTTACATTCTCTGGGCATATTAACAAATAAGCTAATCCAAACGTTATTGAAAAAAAGAGAGAGATTTAGTAATTACACGTGTTTGTGCAGTATCACCGTCTGTCTTTGGTATCTGTCCAAATCTTCTGCAGTACTATAATTGACAGAAATGGTATTTCAGAATCTACAGTAAAAAGAAGAGATAGGGACATTTCCCAGTATTCTTATTCTTACCTTTTTTCCTCAATACCTTATTTTCTCATCTCCCTTTTATCTAATTCAAAGACACAAACACACATATGCACACCCACCAAATACAGTTAATTCAGGAAGCTTCTTCCCTAGAAGAGAAAGTAAGGACATAGGTTTCTGGACCTCACCCATGCTCACTCCTCCCCAGCTTACTTAGGAGCTGCTTGTCTGCTCAAGATAGTTATTTGTCCCAGTTTCACAACTAACTCCCCTCTCCCCTTCACCCCCAAGTACTGAAACAGGGCAACTGGCATCTTTTCCTAATCTCTCCATGGCAGATCTCTTTCCAACCCAGATTGAGCTCTTGGAACAAGAAAAGAATGCCCACCCACACCCTGAGCCCTCAGTAAGGCAGCTCTTCCAAGAAGCAGAGCATAGGGCATATCACCTACTGTGATCTGCAGAGGTCAGCCAGCCAAGGCCCAAGAGGAGCAGCAAGAGAGGCAACATTGCTGACCTGCTTCTACGCTGGGACCCTGAAGTTGGAGACTGAACAATGGCAGCTCATGACCACCAGGGGGCATTGTGCTCTCTTTTTCTCTCTGAGTCCAGGAGGACAGCAAGGTCCTTGGGGTTGTAGGTCTTGGCTTTATGGCACCCTGCCTGGCCTGAGCTCCGTGGTCAGGTGGACTCCAAAATGTACAACCTCGGGGAAGCCCAACACGCACTCTGCTGCTGCATTCAAAGACACATAAGGGAGCCAGTACTTTTGCACATTTGGGCTTCCTTTAAAAAAAAAAAACTAATTTTAATGAAAGTTTACAGAGACAAGGTTTCCAGTCATTCATTGTTGTATTTTTCTCCCTGCCCACCCCCTCTCCCCACTTCACTCTTCTCCTTGAAAAGTAAAAGAAAAAGTCTTACATTGTTAGGCAATCCCTCCCCCAAGTACCCTCCAATTTGCAGACTTCATTCTGGACTCCTGTAATGACAAAAATACCCAGTCATATATCCCTTTTAAACAGTTTTCTCCCTCATCTGTTTCAATGCAGTATACATAATTCCTCCCCAGCCTGGTACTAGTACAATGACAGACAGATAGATCAATGGAATAGAATTGAGAATCCAGAAATCCACACATCTACATAAGATCAAATGATTTTCAACAAAGAGATTAAATCAGTTAAGTGGGGAAATGGCAGCCTTTTAAACAAATGGTGCTGGCAAAATTTGAAAACTGAAAGCAAAGAATACCAGAAGAATGGCTATCTGTGTTTCATTGATTATGCAAAGGCATTTGACTGTGTGGATGATAACAAACTGTGGCTGACTCTGAGAAGAATGGGAATCCCAGAACATTTAATCGTGCTAATGCGAAACCTATACTT